TCGAGTAAACTGAAAAGAATTTAAATATTACTCTCGAATTACCCAGATCTATCTAGTGCGTCCATCGTTTCGAAAACTTGCTGAAGCTTAATATGACAGCATTCAATTCCCAATAGATATACGAAAAATTAGCCGTCGTACTTCTCGTTCTCAAAAATACATAAAATGTGGTCATTTCACGTTGTTGTTTGCCTCTTATATAACTGGCGCTTAGAATTGTTTGTGCTACAAGTTAGCATTTATGCAGTCAAGTTCACTGTAGTCTCCTCTTAATCCCAATGTTGATGTGGGACATAGAGTCTGGAAGATCGCGGGTGGTACAACATGAGCAAGCCAGTGAAAGAACGCAAGACACTGAGTTGCTTAAATCCTCACCATCGATCACTCGTTCACCCCTCTTCCCCCTCTCCCCCGTCCCCTACTCCATCCCTCCCCTTCCCCCCAAATGGAAAGCAAGAAGTACTCTGGTTCATACTTCAGAGAAGGTTTACATTTAAAACGGTTATAAACAAAACGAAATTTCAGTTTTGTTTATGTCTTGAGTAATATTCTGGTAAAGATACGGCACCAGAAGGAACTACCAGACTGTCAATGTATGCTTACCTCCGACGAGCACTCATGAGATGCAAGCCATTCTTCACCACTCATCAAAACAGGCATTTGAACAAATGCCCTGTTTCCCTATTAGTGAAAAACACAACAAAAAACTAGCTAGTCTTAATCGTTACTAATACTAATGCTAGATACTATAAACGCGTATTTGGTTAAAGTAGTTTTGGAATACGCAAGGACTTTAATTACATGCAGTCGTTTTTTTGGTTTACACGCACTTCCTAATGCTAGTCAGTATTTGCCACGATTTGTTTAAATATTACGGACAATTATGATTTAATTTTCGAAGCTTTTTTTTTTTTCAGAAGACGCTTGAAACGTTTAGACAATTGTAACTGAATACCGTAACAAAGAAAGCATCCAAGGACATCAGGGAAGGGTTATCAACACTGTGGAAGTGAACAGCTTTTCTTTGCAGAGTTTCAATGCCTCCCACCTCTCTGTCTACATTCAGCTCCTGAGAAGTAAAACACAGGTTGAGGTTACCGGAATCTTATATATGTGTAACGTCAAACAAAACTTTATTTGCATAATCACATCAAAGGAATGAATCTGAACTACATGACAAAAAAATCATTGCGTTAAGCAATATTATGCTCCAAAGAAGGGCTAACAGCGGCTCATTGAGCTTATAAACTTCAGGTAAATAAAACAAGAGATAACGTATGTATTTCAGCAAGGCATGCGATATACTATATGTGCTCATCTGTGTCATCATAGTTATGTCCATGTCATCAATCAATACTATGAAATATCCCTTGAGGAGAAACGTGCTCATACATTTATAAGGAGAAATGCATTTTTGGCTTTATAAGAAAAATCGATATCCGTAATTTCTGTGCCGTGTCCACGTTTTTTGCTACCATTTGAATAAATAAGAATGGAACTCTTCAGTAATCTGGTGATTGCACTGAGATAAAGCATATCCTTAAACAAAATGATCTAATATTGGAAAGGCACACCTTCAATATACAAGGCCTTCCAGCAAATTCAGTCTTGATAACAGAACACTTGTCATGGCTAACAGAAGAAACAGAGTCGTAGTGTGGATAATGTTCCAACTCTCTTCCTGGTTTCACCAGCCCATTAGATGTCTGTAAGATAAAATAAATACTTCTTGCTCTACATAGAGCTAGAAAACCAGAGCTCAGCAAAGCTATGTCAATTTTCTACGTTAGCAAAGCATTCAAATTCCTTGTCAACAGATCATAACATCCAAAAGGATCTATCCATTTGTGTAGCGTATGTTACATTGGAATGTCTTCGGTTTAAATACCGTTTTTTGTTGGAATTGGTTAAAACATAATGCTCTTCCCCCTCCCCCCCGCAACATACAACGCACCCCTAAGCAGAAAGTTAAAAAATGTAACAGTCTTCTTTTGCACATTGCTTGTTTTACTGATTTAACCAGCAAAACCGGGCTGCACAAGTACTGTAGCAAATGTCTGAAACAGCGGGGTGACCGGTGGCTGCAGCATTCCCATTACAGGGTATCTCTGAATACAGTGCTCAGAAATTGGACCTTTAGTATACGTATGTTCCTGCATTTTGTATATGCATGTTCTTACATTTTGTACGTGTATGTTTTTGCATTTTAGAGTTAGGGAACATTAGCTAGTAGGACGGTACAGTGGAAACGGCATACATTGAAAATCCTTACCAAAAATCCTGAAATTCCCAGTTCAGGATGAGCTATTGGAAGCTCAGGGAAGTGTTCTGATGTAGACTTGGCCAATTCCGCCTGTCGTAAGAA